GATTAATTATGACATCCTATTTTATTGAATTAAAAAAACTAAATTTATTAAAATTAAATGGAAGAAATAATTTATTAAGAGTAGTTTAATGGTTTTAATGCTCGAATTGTTTCTTGGTCCAAAGCAAAAAAATAAAGTACTCTTAATTCTTAAAGGCAAACGTTGCAAGTTGCAGAGCAATCATAGGTTAAGATTTGAAGATCTAGCGCGTAAAAATGTGAAGTTTTAATTTTGTTTTTACCTTAGTGATATAATTATAATATAGTATAAAATTATTAATTTATAATTACAACATTTCATAAAATGACTGAATGTATAATATTATGAATAAATTTTTAAATAAAAAAAATTAATTATATAATAACATATTATATTATAAATTTATAATATTATGAAATATGATATTATAACTATATCATTTTTATTTTAAAATTTTTTTATGAAATATTCCTTATTTTTTTGAAATGGAAGTAAGTAAGATACTATCTATGTTAGTTTAAATTTAATTGTTAGCCGAGACTATATAAAAGCTCACTTTATTTGGATTAATTGAGTTTGTCATTTCCATTATATTCCTCGATCTTTTGAATTCAATGCTTTTGTTAGCAGTCTCATTCCCATATATGAAAACAAGATTTTTGTTCCGAGTCTCTTCCACCCACTGACATCGACCCATCAAAAGGTCAAAACTTACCTTCCTCGCCAAAATTTTGAAGTATGGGTTTCGTACTTTCGTTTGCTTCTTTTTAAATTGCTCCTACGATGGAAAATTTGATAGCAATGCATCTCGAAGGATTTTAGAAGGTAAAAAATACAATTTATTAATCAAAGTAAAAAAAAAAAAAATTGAAATGAAGAATCCGCTAGCGAAACAGGACCACATGCTATGGGTCGCACACCACGTTGATGGTGTTGATCTCTTGCCCTATGATTTCGACTCTTTGTTTGGTCAATTGGGGAGGAGTTATGGATGCAGAAATAAAAATGTTTTTACATAAACAATTAGTTATACAGTATTATTAAGAAAAAATATTTATTTATATATAAATTTTATATATTATATTTATATAAATTTTAATTATTTTTTATTTTTAATAGTTAAAATTTATTATGATTTTTAAATAAAAATATAATTTTTTAATAAATATAAATAAATATGAGTCATAAAAATATAAAGATAAATTATTAAAATTTTATATATATAATACTTAAGATTTATATGTATAAGTGGATTCTATTAATTTAAAAATATTAATTATATTAATTTTAATTTATTAAATTATTAATAGTAATTATTTTAGTAGTGTTAGAGACACTTTCTTTGACCCTCTTTTTTGAATCCTCTCCGTTTCAATTATGTGAAATATGAATTTAATATGATCAATAATTAGTAATTGATATTAAATTAAATATTTTTAAAATTTAAGATTGTAATCAATCATATTAATTTATATATCACATGTGTTCTTCCTTAATATTTCTCTAAATAATTTATTATTAATCAGTTAACCACTAGAGTTATTAATTATTTTTAATTATTAATTAAATTAAATAAATATTTAAAAAAGCAAAATTTTTAATGTAATATAAAGCTTAACAGCCAATTGTGGGGCATAACCATGCACCATAAATCAGTGTTCCTGTTAATAATGTTGGACCAAGGAGGAGGAATTATAGACCCATAGCAGAGAGTTTTAAGAATAAATAAACCCATTGAGCTCACCATCTACGTCACCAACCATTGAGCTCACCATCTACGTAACCCAACTCTTCCCGACGGTCATCCATTTGCGCAAGGTCAACCGACTTAATTAGTTTCGCCTTCCTTATAAATTCTCTGCTACCGTAACGCTCTCACACATCCATTACTAGCTACCTCGCACACATTTACTGCATTCTGCATATCTTCCTTGATCTGTGTACATCAGCACTCGGCAGAGATTCGACATAAAGGGTAGCATGTCATCGGCGGAGCACCCCAGGAAGGCTTTCGGTTGGGCTGCTAGAGACGCTTCCGGCGTCCTCTCCCCTTTCAATTTCTCCAGAAGGTTCTATCCATGCTCCATTTCAACTGCTTCATTTTCTGCAGAATAAATTGGGGATTTTCTTAATCCCAATTTTTGTATGCATTTTGCAGGGCAACCGGAGAGAAAGACGTGGCTTTCAAGGTCCTGTACTGTGGGATTTGCCACTCTGATCTTCACATGGTGAAGAATGAATGGGGCCACACAGTGTATCCTGTTGTACCTGGGTATGTTTTCATAATTCCATTTTCCTAGTTAACTTGTTAAATCCTAATTAGTCTTCAAAATAGAAGTAACTCAGCAACTTTTAATTATAAATTTTGATTTGGATATCAAATTTGACATCCATATAAACAACTGAAATTGCAAAATGCAGACATGAGATTGTTGGTGAAGTGACAGAGGTTGGAAGCAATGTGACCAAGTTCAAAGTTGGAGATAGAGTAGGAGTTGGGTGTATGGTTGGATCCTGCCACTCCTGCGACAATTGTGCAAACAATGTTGAGAACTACTGCCCTAAAATGATATTGACCTATGGTTCCAAGTACCCTGATGGGACCCTGACATATGGAGGTTATTCTGATACCATGGTTGTGGAGGAGCACTTTATAGTTCGCATTCCAGATAACCTGCCGCTTGATGCTGCTGCTCCCCTTCTTTGTGCTGGGATCACTGTGTTTAGTCCATTGAGATACTATGGACTTGATAGGCCTGGTGCACATGTAGGTGTGGTTGGCCTAGGTGGG